TATTTTGAATAATCAAAAAAAACTTATTGAATATCTGGCTTGTGATCTCAGGGCAAAGATGCTTTTGGGGGTGGCATGAATCAGAGCTTAGGAATGAAAACGAGCACATTTTAGCATTGTCAAATAAAAGCAGAGAAGACCCCCTAGGTTCTCCCAGGAACAACTTCTAAGTGTTGCCAGTCCTGGAGCACACCTAGAAGAGTGTACTGGGACAAACAGGCAGATTTATGTGAACGATCAGTGTCATGCTGGTAACTCACGTAATGAAGAGCGGGCACGTGCTCAGTTTGGTTTCTGTATTTCAGGTCCTTAATGATCATCTTCTCACATCAGTTCACAGCTGCTGGCTCCAGCACATCCTCGGATCTAAAAGGAAAGCAGCTCCTGGAAGGCGGTGGAAGCAGGGAGCCGTCTTGCAACACCGCCGAACTTCTGAGGCTCCGATGCTGCTGAAATCCCTCAAGGAATTAGAGCTCCTGGAGGAAAAGAAAGAGTTGCTGAATTCCTCCTTCAGTTCTAACTACATATTTTGTGTGTTAATGCACCCATTAAATTGTGAAGTGCCTAAGAAAGGGCCCTGGGAGCTGTTGTGTGGGTGCATACAGTTTAAGCAAGGGATGGTCCACAGGTATTTGTGCCTTCTCGTGGTTAATACTTGAATCACATTGCTGCTGGAGCCACCTCCAAGCTGGGTGGTGAGAAGGTGGCCAGCAGAATAGGCAGGTCTAAGCACTGGAAGACTGCAAGCAGATGTTTTGATCAGCACGGAGGGAAATTCCCAAGTTCAAAGGCTTTGCTGTGGTTCGGCAGTGACTTAGAGTTCAAAGGCAGGAGTCAGAAGTAGCCCCATGCAATAACTGCATTTCTGACCTTGAAGACTGTTAGTAAATCCTTAATCCCTGATAAATGATTTAGTTGGTGCTGTTTAGTGCTAAACTTTTAAATCAGAATGCTTAGCAGTGTTAAATCAGAAAGCTTATTACCTCTTTTCAGCTGTGTTAATAACTATAATCTTTTTAATGGAAGCAACTTCATTGGACAGGACTTGCCTTCCCAAAAAAACTTCTTGACTGACATTAAATATACTTCTGCCCTTTAATTATTCCCCAATTAATGGAGGGCTGATAAAGGAGTTGCTTTGCCTGCAGCATGTGTCAGATCAGCCAGCGGTTCCGGGCAGCCCGGTTGCACTTGGAGCTCAGGCAGAAGGTGAAGGCTTCTCCCGACTCCTCAGCCTTCCCCCGTGTTTGAAGCATTGGGAAGCTTATCCAAAATGGGTCAGACTTATCAGTCGCCTCTCCTTGGGCTCCTGTTTGGGGTTTATCTGAATCTGCTGATTTAAATATTCGTGCAGGATGATATTTAACATGTCTCTTTGGCTGTTAAGGGAGCACAATGAGTATTTCAGTTTGTGTTCTTCCAGTTGAGGGTGGATTTATCAGTGAGTACTTTGTACTTTTTGCTTCATTAGTATTCGGTTTAATCTTACCAAAGAGCTGGTCTTGTTTCTCAGATTTCTTGGTTAACAACTAAACAGCAGCAGCAACAACAAAAGAATATGCAGTTTATCATTAAATTTTCCATTCAAGGATTTTCCTTTCATCTCTAAGTTCCCTTACAGTTTCCTACATTTCTTATTTTCTAATGTGTATTCATTTCGTTGTCTGTATCCCCTTTTTTCCCTTTATAATACACTGTCTTTTTAATTGCTGCTTTTATTTCTGCATTTTGTTGAAGGGGTTTCCAGTCAGGCTTGGCTTTTCTGACTGCAGTATCCCTGTTGTGGTTGCAGCTTCTTGGTGCTTAATAAACCCTAACTCCCCACTTTTGTTCCCATGTTTATCCACGTTTGTCCTACTTGATAATTCCATTCATAGTGCTGACTTTGGGAGACTGACCTTTTTGACGTCACAATCTATTTTTGAGTGAATTTGGAGAGAGTGAAACTATGAGGAAGCCAGAAGTCTAAAACCTATCAATACTGAATGCTTGCCTGCTCTCCGTGCTTTTCACAGTGTGACTACAAACTGTGAGTGCTGTGGTGACGGCAGGGACATCATAAATGTTTTGCAGAGCCCCCTGATTTTACTTCTTGCAGCTGTGGAGATTTTTCTGCTGGATAATTCGGTTGCCCTCTCGTTATCTAGTACAGCCGATAACGTTGCCTCAAACTGCCAGACCATTCTTGCTCCACCGCTGAAAAGTTTGGAAAAGCTTTAAAGGGAACTGGATAAAATACGATTACACTTACCAGCTGACAGCTTTTGATAAGACAGCCCAAACACTGCTTCCCACTTGTTTTGTTTTCCCCTGTAAAGTTTTCTGCCTTGCTATGTGCTGCTTAATTTTATGAAACCGAAGAAGTGGTTTGTTCTGGCAGGTGTAGCTGGGAGGGAAGCCTAAGGAGCAGCTCCAGTGAGAAATCTGGACCGTCTTCAGTGCCTTTTGTCCTTCTTGTGTTTATTAAACAGCTCTGGATGTTGCGAATGGTCATTTGTATTGCTCTGAAAGTGGAAAAGGCGGTCGGGAGAAGGGTTAAGAGGGAATCCGTTTGGGTGATTGGCAGCAACCAAAGTAACGTAGAGGCCAGCGCTGCCACAGGGAACGTGCTGCCCTGGCAGGGGACTCAAACCACCTGATGCCCTGCGATTTCTGCAAGGAAATGGTGAAACAAATGCTTTGTGTCTGCTTGGATGGGTCAAGCTGGCTCCAGCACCTGTCCCAGCCTCCCCCCACCTCGCTGCCCCTCTCTATATTTACCCAGGGGGAACTTTCCAAGAATGGAAGTGGTAAGATAAAACCCTTGAGGGGCTAAAATTAGCCCCAGCGCCCTGGCCCTTCTCCCCCTGGTGGCATTTCAGCTGTGAGCTTGACAGCCTGTGTCGTTCCGGTCACACAGAGCGGACGTCCATCCCCGATGCAGCAAGATCCTCTTTCTCTCCTGTTTGTTTTTTTGTTTGTTTAAACCAAGGGAGAACTCGCCATGGGACCGTCACTGCCTTACATGCCCTGGCCATGAGCATCACCTGCCTCCCAAAGGTAAGGCAGCAGCATAATGATGCCTGGGCAGTATCTGGCAATTGAAGGTAACTTGGGAACCAGTTGTAAAAGCGTGAATGTATTCTCTGTCCCCTTGAGCTCTAGTCATAACCTCTTTTTGGGGGGAGGTCTGCAGATGCACGGACAGCTTCCTTCAGTTCAAGAGGTGACAACTCTGGTTTGGGCTTTTCTGGTTGAGGAACGTCTGTGAACTCCCCATGCGAGTGCTTACACCGTCAAAGCAACGTCCCTTTGGAGATGCTTATTTGTGTGTTCAGGGAATGCTACAGCTAGGGTTTTTTTTTTTACTTTTTCCAGACCATTTCCCTTGGGAATATAACTGGGCCCTTTTTGAATCAAATCTGCAATAAATCCCCTGCTCTGTGAGCCACATGGGTGGGTTTCCAAAGCTCCAGAGCTCGTTATCAGCGTGTCTAATGAATAACAGTAATGTTATAATTCCACATATTTCTATATAAATTGCCTGGGTTAGTGTAACAGGTGGGAGCGCAGCAAAGCTTTGCTGTCACTTGCTGCCATCAAACTTGCTCTGCTTAACCAAGATGCGAAGCTGCGCAGGTGACCTTGCACAGGGGATTCCTCTGAGCTTGCACGACTTGCCACCACAGGTGGATGTGGGACGCGCCTCCTGTGACTGCCTCGTTACTGCCATGCTCGTTTGCAGAAAGAGGCTAATTGCTCAGTGCAGCTCCTTGCCTCCTCCAAGGGAGGATCAGAGGAGCCACTTGGGGAGACCAAGCTCTGCCACTGCCACCTCTCCCCGAGGAAATACGAGATGCTGCGGGGCTGCGACATGGCGAGACATTCCTCTGCCCTTCCCGGCGGGCGGCATTTCCCAGCTGGTCAGGTGCCGGCTGGGACATCGCATTCCTCTCCCCCGCTGCCGTTCGGCTACGGCGAGGACAGATCCTGCACCAAGTGCCTGGCAAATGTGTTGGGGTTCAGTCCCAGCTCTGGTGTGATCAGCTCAGCATCCCCTCACCTTCCTCCCGCCACTCCGTACCCCCCACTATAAAAATCCCAGACACTTCTTGCAGCCGTGCTCCTCGGGCTCGAGTAGGCAGGAGCGAGGAGCGGGTTTGCTCAATTCAAACGTTGATGTCGTCTCGGGAAGGGCGATGCTGGAGGTACTTAATCAAACCAGCCACCTTCACATTCACTTCATCTCCTGTTTTGAAATCCAATCCCTTCAAAAAGTGGCAGGATGTAAAAACCTTGCCATGCTGCCAGCTTCTAAATCAAAATTCCTCAGAGTTTTCCGTGCGTTCCGACGTACTTGGAAGTGCAGGTGCCGGTGAGGCTTCCAACAGAAGCCTTGGCCGATAGGTAGCAGAGTTGATTCTCGCTATTTTCCAATGTGCTCTTCACTCAGCAGCTCCCACAGAGAACAGCTGGATGAGGTGATTTCTGAGGATCTTGGGAAAATGGGTGGTTTCATCCACCGGTGGGGTGCAGAGTCCTTGCAAGAGCCTGTGGCCAACGGGAGCCATCCTGAGCTCAAGGTCTGAGTATCCCATGAGTAGTCTCATACCCTTTACTGCCTCAGGGGCTAGCAGTACAGCATTAAATCATTAAAAAAAAAAAAAAAAAGTAAAAGCCTGTAAGCTCCCCATGCAGCATTTGAACTCCAACACCCAATTCAATTATCCCAGTGTGTTCTCGATCACAACATTTTAAGGGGAGGTGGCCCACGTACGTGCTACAGCAACGACCTCTGTCTTTGCCTTAGCCCTTCACCAGTCGATTTGCTCACCTGTGGTGGCAGGGTGATAAGCACGTCAGCAGCATCATAGTCCAATGTGTATTTGTCTTTTTTTTGAGACTCTTCCTTAAGTTGTGTATAAAAATAGTAAAAAGATAGTGTTGGTGGCAGGAGGCTTGTTCTAACCCAGCTGTGCTGCTGGTTTTGTTGTCCCGTAGATCTTTGGCTTTACCTTTTATGATGAAATCGGTACATGGGAGACAGACCAAAAAAAAATGAGCCTAATGGATATCACTAAAATGTTCTCCATGCTCCAGCCCAGAGAAGACGAAGATGACAACGGAGAAAGCGAGGAGCTGAACCGAGCGGTATCTGAGGACAATTACCAAACCCTTGATAACCTCTTGTCCCAAGACAGGTACAAAAGGTTCATCAACCGCCGGAGCGGCTGGGGCGTACCCAGCACCCCGCTGCGCCTGGCCGCCACGTGGGGCCGCGTCAGGAGCATGAAGGTCCTCTTGGCCCACGGAGCGGAGGTGGACAGCCTGGACGTGAAGGCTCAAACCCCACTCTTCATGGCGGTCAGCAACGGCCACCGGGAATGCGTGAAGGTCCTCCTGGACGCAGGGGCCAACCCCGTCGGCAGCATCTACAACAACTGCTCACCGCTGCTCATCGCCGCGAGGGATGGGAACGTGGACATCCTGCGGCAGCTCCTGGATCACGGCGCAGAAACCAACGTTCAAGCGAGATTGCCTGAGTGGGCCGCCAACTCGGTGGCTTGTTCTGGTCCCCTCTACCTCGCCGCCGCGTACGGGCACCTGGAGTGTTTCAAAATGCTGTTGCTTTACGGTGCCGATCCCGACTATAACTGCACCGAGGAGAGGGTGATCGCCCAGATCAAGGAGCCCAAGACTCTGCTGGAAACCTGCCTGAGGCACGGCTGCAGGAGCGAGTTCATCGAGCTGCTTATTGACTTTGGAGCCAACGTGTACTTGCCCAACATCACGGTAGATGAGATGGCACCCCGCAGCGAGGGCCTGGAGCTGCTGCTGCAGGCGAGAGGTAATCTGCATGCGTGGCCCCGGCGCTGGAAATGAGCGCTAATTTTGCTCGTTTGGGTGCAGGTTGCTTCAGATTCCCCTTCCCTTTACCTCTGCTTCCCAAGAGCCTTACCTAGGCTTTCCTATGAGCTTTGACTCCCTTTGCAGCATCGCTTGAATGCATGGGCGTCTCTAGTCTTGAGTATCATCACTATTTTACTCTGAACTCTTATTCCTCCCTCTCCCCCAATGACTGCTGTGTTCAGGCCAAAAAACCCAAGTCTCCAATACCAAACACAGCCAGAGAAGGACATCACAAGGTTATGGAGAATAGGTCTGCCACTGGTGATTAAATCTGATGGTTTGGATACACACACTACTGCAGGAAACTCCTAAAACAAATTGCTGGGATTTGGGGGACTGTCACAGGAGGGCTTCTTTCTAATAAATATCCACCAAACATCCCTGATTTCCACTGCTGGCTGTGGCTGGAGGCAGGCTACCTTGTTTTGGGTCTGGGGGGTGACTCAGTGCAGCCACCACGTACGTTTACGTGGTTATCTTCCCCCTTAGACTCACCGCAGCATCTGCTTTTCATGAATCTTTTTAGATGCTTGCTAAAGAAACCGCTTTCAGTGAGGGCCCTTGCTGTGGTCTGTGCTGCTCCGGAGCACACAGGGACTTCCACAGCCTGTTTTTTTTCCACTTAATATAAATCTGTTGGGTTAAAGGCTGCTTTTTGCCATTCCTCTCCTTTCTGCTGCTCAACTTTGGCTCTCCTGTACTGCTTATGTCCAGAAAAACTGCACTTATTTCCATATGATGGTGGAAGATTTCATTTCTGGATGCCCAGCTCCCGTGAGACGCACGCTGCAAAGCTGAATGCGCGGTGTAACGAGCCCTAGCAAAGATATTTCGTTTTCGTCTATCGATATCCCTTTGCTCAGGATAATGCCCGGGTTGGAGGGGAGCGGGGTTGCATGTCTTGAAGGTGACCATCTCATTTTTCCTCCCTCTCCTTACGCAGCTCATCCCAAGTCCTTGATGTCCCAGTCCAGGCTGGCGATGAGACGTCTCCTGAAGCAGGCTGGCCGCCCGCATGCCCTCGGCGAGCTGGACGTCCCGACGGTCCTGGCGAACTACCTCCGACACCAGCCATGACGCACAGCCTGCCACGAGAGACGCCCAGCACCCCAATTAAAAGCCGCTCTGACATCTGTGCAGTGTGAAACCGCCCTGAATTTGCGGTCGCAAAGTAATTTTTGCTTACGAGGTGCCTCCAAAAAGCAGCGCCCGTGCGAAAAGATGATAAGGGAAGGGGGGGGGGGAGAAAACAGAGGAGGCGATGGGTGATGGTAGAGCAGGATCTGATTTAGCTGAGTTTGGCTTTCAAGCCTCTTCGCTGAAGGATTTTACACCTTTAATTGATACTGGTTGGAGAAGGAGCTGGGGAAAAGGCATGGAGGGCAGAGGGAAAGGAGCAAAGGCTGCTTTTACCTCCTCCTCTTCTGGGGAAGAGCGGGAAGGAGGGAGGCACGACCGGGCTTCGTGCCTGTGTGTTTCCCCCGCAGCGTGGCCTCAGCTGCCTCTGAACCCCCTTTCCCAGAGAGGTTTCCAAGTGCCTCCTCTGTTCGGGAGCCTAGCGAGGGCAGAAGGGAGGCTGGACCTGGCCGTGCGTGCCCAGCCCATCACTGTGCCCAGGGTGCTCCCGGCCCCAAGGACACGTCGGTGCGAAGCCCAGCACTCCCAGGTGGCTGGGATAAGTATCCAGAAGCCAGAGTTCCCAGACTCCCCGACTCTTGTCTCTCCGCCCCAGTTCTGTCCTTAAATGTCGTTTTATTTGCCTCAAAAGTGGTTCGTGTTATGGCCGAGGGGTCTGTTGTGATTGGGCTGGTTTGGGTTTTTTGGGGATTTTTTTTTTTTTAAATTAAAATGACGCTACTATTCTTATTAAACTATCGTGACCCTTTTGGTGAAATATCCTTTAATCAGAAGAGCCCGGCAGCCCAGCCGGCATCATTTGGAAGGGATGCAGGGAAACACTGCAGCCGGGGAATTTCAGGCTGAGCCTGGAGTGGGGCATCCCGGCAGCGGTGCTGCCCGTCGGTCGCTCCTGCCTTCGGCGCGTCTCTCCATCCCTCCGGCGCGTCGTGACCAGCGATGGGGACAACACGCGCCAGCCTTGGACTTTGGGCATCGCCCTTGCCGGTGGTAGCCGGCGGAGCCTTGCTGGCTCTTCCCGCAGCCAGGAGCTGATGGATAAACCACGCTGCTCCTCGGCAGCTCGGCACACGCCTGCTGGTGATGCTCTGGACTGCTTTTGGGATGCAGCAGAATATGTCCCCTACGGTTTAGTCCACCCTACCCTACTTGCATCTCAAAGGCAAGTGCTGCTGGGGAGCTTTGAGGATTAGTCTTTGTGGAACACAGGTGCATTTTTGCATTATTTATTGGCTTGCTTCAAATGTTGTGGAATCTATTAATCAGCATCTATTAATTAAGCTGAGGGGCATCTCTTGAGGGGAGCATTAGGGCTTTAAATTAGCCTGGACAAAGCACTGGGAATTACTCTGTGGGGAACGATGGCACTGTGGCTGGGAAACGGGGCCGGTGGATCTAACAGGTCTCGCTCTTCAGCCCACCCGAAGCAGCCCCTTCTCCGGGGGGAGGTGGATTAAGGCACGAGGAATCGGGGCAGCAGGAGGGTGGATGCCCTCGACGTCCACGGCAGCAATTCCGTAGCTGTCTTCTGCTGGGGAGTGCTGGTAGAGCTGTGTTGGGGCACTACATCAGTGCTGGAAACCTGATGATTTCTATCTGAAATGCTCCGTCATGCTGGGAAGCTTAATTTTCTGGGGGCTTTATAAAGAAATGACAAACGCAGACTGTATCTAGTCCACCAGAGAAGCACAAGGTCTTCCTCCAAAGCACCTGAGGTTGGCCCGTGCCCAAAATCATCCCTCCAACCTGGAGCCCCCCCGGCTCGGGGTGGCAATGGGGCTGGGAGCACCCTGCCTGGGAAGGGATGAAAAAAAATCTCACTTTCGGAGGAAGGACCCTAAACGAGTCCTCCATTGTTTCCCCTGATTTAAGGCGTTTCCTTGAATTTCTGGCTCGCATCGGGGGGATGCTTTACCTACGCGCGGTCACTGGAGGCTGTGCCTGGTGTGAGCCACCAGGAGTGATGCTCGGCTCCGCGGCTGCACGTTTCGTTAAGCCCCCGAATGTCACCACCTCGGCTCGCCCGTCGGAGCACGGACCTGAGATGTGAGCAGGGAGCCGCCGGCCAGCCCAGCTCTCACCCTGGCACGCATGTTTCTAATCCCACGCGGCAGATCCTTAAAAACCCAACGTGCTGTGACATATTGGCTTCCACTTGTCCTCAGGTGCTACCAAAAAGCGCGGCAAGGGCAGGACGTGCGGGGGCCCCGCGTTAACGCCTGGCCCCGAAGCGCAGGCTGGATGTCCCTCTTGAAGTTCACCAAGCAGAAGTGCTGGGTCCAGTTCTGGGCTTCGACCCGCAGAAGAGAGACACGGACATACTGGAGAGGGTCCGTGAAGATGAGGAAGGGTCTGGAGCATCTCTCCGGGAGGAAGGGCCGAGGGAGCTGGGATGGTGCAGCGGGCAAGGCTCAGGGAGATCTCATCAGTGTCTATAAGTACGTGGTGGGGGGATAAGATGGAGCCAAGCCCTTCCCAGTGGTGCCCAGCCCCAGGACTGGAG